GTAACGAACGTGAACTAGATTGTTCTTATCACTGGCGCCATGCTCAACCATTAGAACGGCCAAGGCCGTTTGTCAGACGACCCTTCTGCAAAAGATTTCCTGAGATACCACATGCCACTGTTGAGAGCTCAAGATCATGACGAAGGTCAACGTCAAGTTGGAGCAAGGGTCGATAGATTAAATTGCCCTGTAAAGAGATCACACCAACTTTCCCAGAGACGCCGTCTCAGTAGACAAGACACTACGAAGAAAACTGCAAATGGAAGAAGTTGATTGCTTTCTGTAGGGATTTTGCCACTGAGAACTGCGCGCATCTCGTAAAAGATATCTCCAAAGGTTAGAGTTGGTTGCCTCAATAACAACTGATATACAACCAATATAAAAATCACAAGGCGCTATGAACGGATAGTACCAATCATGTTATATCACAGTGACTATATCTATCCAAGATATTGCAGAGTTGCTTTGCAAGAGCATTGTAACACAGAACAGACTGCAATGCATCTTTTCTAGCAAATGGATGTAGATATGGGAACAATTTCAAAATGGAGGAATAATGAAAATTCTCTCATGAGCCTGTCAGAAGAAATAATTGTCAGTCCGGGTCTGGCTACCCACGTGAGTGCCATTAATCCTAACCAGACATAGAAGCTGCATTAAGATGTCAACAGGCAATGTTTTTATCCATTAGTAAGATCGCATTTTTCCAGAAGTGAAATCAGAGGATTTGCCCGAGGGAGGACTTGCAGAGTTGAATTGTTTCGCTTGATCCTCTGCGCATACTGATAACAGCTATATTGACACTATTCCGTCTGTACGCCTGGGCATAAGTTCCGAATTCTTTGAAGTACTTCACTTTCTTACAAGTCATGGTTATCTTTACGCTACAGTGTGGACGCAAAGTGACAGGGTTACAATTTATTGCATATGACTCCATCATTGCAGGGTCGAAGAACATCTGATTCAATGACCTTCGAAAATTCTGAGTAATTGTTGGAGATTGGAAGAATAAATATCATGCAGCTTGTCATTATTGTTTATTGTGGTTTATTGTGGATAAACTCTCCTTTAGCTTCCCACCCATGGGTGACAGCTATTCTTCCAGGAGAACGAAGGTAGAGAACATAAGAACATAAAAATACATCAACGTAACGTACAATTATATAAAATTACATGCAGTTAATATTTAGACAAATGTGTGACATCGTATGTACTTTACTTACTCTTGTCCCTCATGTCCTTTAGTAGTCCTTGCTTGAACTTCTCATAAGATAGCACCGCTTGTAACCCATATGTTAGGGAGTTCCATGCTGCCTAGTTCTGTATGTGAAGGCTTTTTTAGTGCTGTTCATTTTTGGCTCGTCCAGTTTAAAAGTGTTTCGAGTTGCACACCTTGTTCTTTAACTATGTTGATGTGACACCGGACACAGTTGATTGTAGAGTATGGCTGGTTGTTATTTGTTAGACAGGATTTTTTGGAAGGAGCAATAATTGTTATTGATGTATAGTCATTAAAGAGCAATAATTGTCTTCGTTGCAACAGGTAGAACGTATATACGGTATCTTTGGTAATAGAAGAGTTGTTCTTCTTATAACAGTTATTGAAGACAGCTGCACCAAATGATGACATATTCGCAACATGCGCTGATCGTATCAGCGTCTTCTCCAACAATTTGCTGCCAAAACTTGCCAGACATGAAACACCGTAATGTCGTTAGCTGCTTAATTATTGATCTCTTGTTCTAAAATAAGCTCGTCGCGGGAACTGGGTCTCCCTCCCCCATGGCCTGTAAAGTGTTATAGATCGCACATCGACGCGACTAGCGAAAACCAGACACAGACTGAAGTTGGAATCGATCACCCACTTTTTGCGTACTAACGCACTTTCCTCAGATAGAATGATGCACTTAACATTGAAGGAAGAGACTAACTTCTCCGAAGGGGTCTCTTGTTACTGAGAGATGTCTTTTCCAAACGTGGTGAAGCTAGAGATAACACACATGACATGCAGAGTTTATGTGTGAAATTTCTCCGTAGTTGTTTTCATTATTAGCTCCGTAGATATTTGACATTATTGTCCCAAAAATCATCAGTGTATAAACCTCATGTTATGATATATATAAAATATAATCACATTTATTAGCTCCCCTGTTATTTTTAGACTGTCAAGTCCAACAAAGTCGACGCAAATTGTGGCAAGTTACATTTTATTTGTAAGTCCCCCAAAAGGAATAAAAAAAACGAATCACCCAAATCAGCTGCTACTAACAATTTCCCCTGTAGCTATCTGATGCAGTTGTGTGTATGACAGAACTGGTGAGGCAATATAATACTATATCAATACTTAAGAATATTGTTATACCCATATATAAATGTTATTCAGTTATCGGTGTTTCCATATTTAGATATCTGTTGTTGGTTTTGCCATATATTGTACTCTGTACAGTTATTGTGCAATAAAGTATAAAATTAATGCAAACACACAAGTAACCAC